GGACCTTATGCATGTTAGGCAGCTGTTCTACTACTGAGCTATACGCTATCTCAATCATGTCCCTATTAAAGTCACTCAATCAAAGTAATGCTAATAATAAAGCTATCATTGATTAAGCATCTCTATGGGCCCATGCATTTTGTTAGTGTTTTTATCAATTTAACCTATTTAATAATGCTATGAGATAGGGGTTATCATTATGCTAGTTTTAGAGATGAGGAAACTGAAACCAAGAGTTGAAATATATCGGATTTAAACCCTAAGTCTGCACTATTAATACTGCACCCCTAGTGCTTCCTACTACCAAGGAATTTCCTCACCTGTGATGTCTTGTATGACTGGCTACCTTAAGTTTTATGCTGTCCTCCTCTGAATGCTTATATTGGAAATATGTTTGAATATTACTTTTTAGTATTTCACTGTGATGTGTTTGTGCTGTCACTTAAATATATATATATATACATATACATTGAGAATATATGAATAAAGATCCCAACAAATATTTAATTCCCTTCTTTCTGCATGGTCTGAACCACTTGATAAATCAGGAATCTCTTCCGAATCAGCTTTTCATCATCATTAAATATTATATCATCATAATACTAGCTGTAGTATTTTTAAAATAATTAAAGTATAATACAAAGTGTTTAAATGGGGAGGATACTGGATATTGGAAAAGAAAGACATTTCATATTATGAAAGGATACTGTGTGGTCCTTACCATATCCTCTGTGTGTGTGTGTGTGTGTGTACACACACATGTGCATGCACAAACTTTATTTAGCAGTGGCTAAAGGAAGAGTAGTCAAGAAATACTGAGCAGCCCTGGACACCACTGACCCAGGGGATCCAAGCAATATAACTCTATAACTCTCATCAGAAGCACCTAGAATCTTACTGAGGATGTAAGACCCACAGGAGGAGCTCTAAAACATCCATGTAAAAAAAAAAAAGCATGGTCTAACCATCTGGAGGATGAAAACAACATTTGTAGAGAGTGGTCCAGCAATCCCAACCATTCCAGCCATCTCAGCTGAGGTCCTGGACATGAGAGTGAGGTCATCTGAGATAATCTGGCCCAGACAAACAGAAATGCGGCCAATCCAGAGAGTTGTGAGGAATAATAAATCAATGTTTAAAGCCATTAAGTTTTGTGAACAGTTGTTATGAAGCAAAGACCAGTAAATACTGTCTCTGAAAAGACCCCAAAGTTCATAAAAGTTCAGACACATACTCCTCTAACATTTCCAAGAACGCACCAAATCCTTCTCAACACAAAAACATCATGTTCTTCCTGCCTCTCTATTCTTGCTTTCCAACTGCTTTCCTTATGAAAAGATGTGGGTTTTTTTCAGGGAATTCATTTACTTTTCTGGCTAACTATTCCCTCCAGATCCAAGCTTATCATCTACTCTTGTTAGCTTCAAAACAGTGATCATTCCCTTTAACTCCATTGTTTAAAAAGTGGGTGAGATAAGGAAAATCCAAAGTTATGACAGTGTTGCCTCAAATATCTCTTTAACCCATTCTCTCTTCTTCATTCCTATCGTTTTTGACTCATTATTGCAGGACCTGATTGTTTATGTGATTATGTATCATTAGGTCTCCACGGCCTTCAGTCACACTCCTGAATCCACCCCCTATATTGTTGCCAGACTTACCTTCTAAAATGAGAATTTGCTTAAAACCCTTCAGTGGGTTCTCATTTAGGTCTGCTTTGGTCAGGACAACAAAAATAAACTCAGGACTCACTAAATTCTTGCTAAGCACTATGCTAAGTGCTATGTTTCCATGTTTCATGTCAACGGCAATTAAGATTGATGATGGAATTATGTTTGCTCATCAGCTGACCTTAAAGAAATTATCCTGGGTCATCTAGATGGGGCCAATGTTTAAAGTATAGAAGATGGAGGCAGAGGTCAGAGTCAGAGAGAGACCTGAAGATGCTACACACTGGATTTGAAGTGGAAGGAAAGGAGGCTTCTAGACCAGACAGAGAGATTGTGCCCTACAGCCTCCGGAAGAATGCAGCCTTGCCAATACCTTGATTTTAGCATAATGAAATTCATTTCAGACTGCCGACCTCAATTATTATAAGATAATACCGTTGTGTTGTTTCAAGCCACTGAGATTGTGGTAATTTCTTACAGAAGTACAGGAAACTAATATAGGGACCAAGTCACAGAGGCTGTTACATGCTTTAAGTCTTCCTGAGGGCAACTAAGGATTTAATGCAGGGGAGAGAAATGGCATCAAAGATCAATTCAATAAAAGTTGGACTGCTGGGATGAATGGTAGCAGGGAGATGTTATAAGGCTGTGGTGATCATACAGACTGAAAAAAAAATGATTGGTTTAGCTGGCGGAGTACTATAGAGACAGACAGGAGATGCCCAATTAATTTCATGATAAAATTAGAAGGACTAAGAGGTCAACTGAATGTGCGAATTAGAAAAAGGAGAAGTATCTAGGAGGATTTCTCAGTTTCTGGCTTGGGTAGATACTGATATTGTCACTGAGATGGGAAATTTAGGAAGAATAACGCCTTTGTTTTGTCCTATTTGCATGAAAGGAGTGGGTTGAGATTACAATACATTGAATTTGAGATAACTGTGAGACATCCATGTGGCAGTGGATTATAACCCAAGGTTAGATTTCAAATTTAGGCATCTTATGCATATGCATGGTATTAAAACAAATATAGCAGATGTAAAATTAGAGTGTATTGATTAAGAAAATACCTCTGGGGCCACTATTTAATAGGGATTGTCATTCTTCTTTAATCTTTGGAAAAATAGGGTAATTTTTGACAAAGCTGTTACAAAGATTAAATTAGTGAGTAGCGTAATGTCTGGAGTTAGCTAATTTTCAATAAATGAAATGTCCCAGAAATAACAGAGAACAACAATAGACAAAGGAATCTAAGGGCTAAGTCCACATTCCTGACAGTCTCTGCCCTCAAAACCCTCAGAGTCTAGTTTAGCTCCTTGAAGGACCGGGGCCATGTTGTTCTCATCACTGTAATCCCAGTGCCCAGCTCAATGACTGGCCCAAAGGAGTCAAGCACTTTATGAATTTTGCCTGGATGTGTCAGGCAGTTAGATAGAAATGAGCACTGGGCAAGTGGAGAGGAAGGAGTGGGGAGCAACCAAGAAAAGAACAGTACACTTGTACTCATGATAAGGGGCTTCAAAAACTTTTTACTTTCTCTAAATGAAGGCCAGCAAAGAAGCCAGCTAGGATCAAACGCTGCATAGTAGAGAGAAGGACCAGGCTTAACTTGACTCAATGCTCACTATAATGTAAGTAATATCCCAGTTGGAGCCCCCTCCGGAAGGTTTCTCTGTGTGCATCATGGGTAAGAACATGCACAAAAGAGATGGGAGTACCTGAGAAGGACCAGGAGCCTTCAATCAGCCTGAGCACAAGGAATGTGAGCCCTCAATCAGCCTGAGCTGGAAGAACATGAGCCAGTTAATCAGCCTGATCACTCAAAGAACCTGAGCCCTGAATCAACCAATTATAAAAACGCCCCTAAGCCAGGCTGTAAGAACAGAAAAAACAAAGGCCAGCGCCATTTTCCCTCTCTTGGTCTGGCCAACCTCTAATGCTCGGGGGTGTACTATACTTTACTACCTTTTTACTTCACTAATAAAATTGTTTACATCACACTCTTTGTCTCCCATTAAAAATTCACTAAGGACTGAGGTAACTTGTATTCCCCTCCTCCCGGTAACAGATGTTTGTGAGGAGAAAGAAGGATAAATGGGAAAGCAAGGGAGGCAGAGAGGAGGGAGTGGGAGAGAGAGCAGAGCTAGAAATGGAGGAGGACGCCTAGAGGAGGGAGGAGGACAGTATGCCACCTGGACCTGGAGTGGAAAGAGGTTATGGGACCTGGGGATGGACTACGGGCACAGTGGCTCCAAGGGAGCACATGTAGAAAGCCAGAGCCTCTGGCCCTAGAAAGCGCTGTACAATCAGGCCTGTTTTGTTTGTTTTCCGCAGGAAACCAAACCTTCCTGGAGGTTACGAGATATCAGCCAGCTAACCTGCCAGCAAAGCTTTGTACGTTTGATTGGGGTTTGGTTTGACTGAGAGCTGTGGGCATCAGAGAGCAACAATACTTCGCCCTTGGTGCTCAGGCGCCAGCCCCCAGCCCGGATTTCCGCAGCTCCGCGGCGCTCCAGCCTTAAGCGCGAGGGGTCGGCCCTCGGGGGCGCGCTGTGCTTCCGGCGCCCGCACGTTCGGAGCCTGGAACGCCGCGAGGGAGGGCCTCGGCGACGCGAGGTACCGGCCACTCCGGGTCCGGTCGGGACGGAGGGACGACGACGGGGAAAGGGTGCGAGGGGAGGCGGGAGGGAAGGGCGGCGGGAGCGCGGAGGGGCCCAGGTCGGCTATGGAGCTGTACCTCAGCGCCTGCTCCAAGGCTGCCAACGTCGCCGCCAGCAAGACGGCCTCCAGCGGCCTCGCCGAGGACAGCCAGCAGTGCGGAGACGTGAGTGGCAGCCAGCCTGGTGTCGCTGTCCTCCGCCGGGCCCCTGGCCTGGGGACGGGGCGGGGCTAGCCCCGGACGAGTCACGTGCTGTCCGTCAGTAACGCCCGCTCCTGGCGTCCACGTGCGGCGCGGCCGGCGGCGGCGGGGCTGGGGCGGCGGGGCTGGGCAGGCACTGGCCGCGACTGGCTGGTGACTCGGGAGGCGGGAGGCCCTCGGGGCTGCCTGGCAGGGCGGGCCCCTCGGACCCTGACTGTGTGACTCTTCGGTTCCTTTGGTTGGAGTAGCAGAGATTGCTTTAAACTAAATGAGTAAAGGAAAGACCAAACTCCCAATATATCTGACAGGGCGTGCAAAAAACCCACCTTCCGGGGGTCGGAGCGGCTCAACTACTGGATCTGCCTCTTGGGGTCAAGCTGCCTCTGATCCCAGGAAGCAATACTTTATTCTATACTACGAAATTAAGTGAAAAGGTAAAGTAATTTTTAATTGTCTACTTTGGTTTTTGTCCTTTTCTACTTGCTGTTGAATTCAGGCGCTAGCTACATCACACAAAGTCCTTAATTAACTGATATTTGGGGGGTCAGGGGAGGAACATAATCAAACCCATATCTAAAGGTATTGTTTGCAATGCATGCCAAGTAACTTCATCTAGTATGGTTCGGACAAAATTATGGGCTAGAAAGTTTAGATACTCAGTTCTGTCTGTCTTAATTTATAATTCATGGAAGCACGCTAACGTTATACCACATCACATGTACCTAATCAGTGAGATTTAATTTACTTAGAAGCGTGTTTAGTTGAAAGGTGGAAGGTTATCTGTACTGGCTGGCATTTAATTTCATGTTGTGATTTTAACCAGTAATAACTTGGACAGAACTCTCATTACTGAACAATTTTCTTTGTTTTATTTTGAGCTGAATTCTGTTTCACACACGAAGTGAGGAGAAAAGAGTTGAAATGAGTTACCGGGTTTAGTATTTTAACCTCATTTTAATATAAGAAGGCTCTGTCTCCCTGAGGAGGCGCCATGATTTGCTCCAGCTGCCCGTCCAGTCTTTTCTCCAGTGCAGAGCCTCAGCTTTTTCCAGTTAGGGACTTGTACACCTACTCACATAAACCATGTTAATGTTTCTATGCTTCCCAAACCTGGCATATCTTCTGCTCTTCTCCCAGCTGTGAATTTGGGCCATCTTTCAAGATTCCTTCTCAACTATCACAGTCCCCAATTAGCTTATATTTCCTTAGAATTCGCATTGCCATTGAGTATAATTTTACTCAACACTGTAATTTTATAATATAATCATACTGGGTTATAGTGTATACTGCCCTCATACCCTTTTATGTTTTTAAGTCCTCAAGGCTACCCCGACCCTCAAACCTCCCCATTCCTTGACTCCGTAACTCATGCTGAAGGAGTTTCCATACATTCTTTCTAAGTGGTTGCTTTGATCAATATTGCAAGAATTCTACAAGGAAGAATTCCAAGTGACTGCTCCTTACCCATCTACTCTCTATGATGTCATAGGAAATGAGTAGGGGCCCTTTATATTTGATGCTTGCCGAATAAACGTGATTTCTTAAAGTAAATTTTATTTGGTGGGACATATATAATTTCCCATTTTAAAACCAAATCTGTTCTACTAGAATAGAGCAACTAAACTTAAAAAATGCCCGCCTCATACAGTTTGATGGAGTCACATCTGTACAAGTCATCTGTCTTTAGGCATGCTTGAAACTTGTATCACTCCTCTTTAATATGTAAAATTAACTCTGTGTTTTGTCTGCTTCCTCAAATATATTGTTTGCTATGTTACATTTTCTCTGTTGAATATTAATTGTCGAATACTAGTTGATAAACTTCTTTTTTAAAAGACGTTCTCTATTCTTTATGACATTAATTTTCCACTAAACTCTTTATTTAATCATAGTTAGGCATGATTTCCCTGAAGACTGGATTTGTGCTATCTTTCTTTTTCTTTTAGTACAATTTCCTCAATGCAGGCATGCTTAATATTCAAACTTGTAGTTTCTTTTTTTTCTTTCCAAGGGGAAACCAATTATTTTAATTGACAACAGAAGGGTTACCCTGACACTAATGAATGGATTTGTATAAAAAGTGTTGTTTACAGGTCAGTAGCCCAGGATGCTCTTGAGAAATATATGTCATCAAAGCGAAAATTCGGCATCTAAAAGAAGTTGAACAGCTAAATGTCAACATCTAAAAGAAACAATCTACTCCTTGACTCATGATTGTTTCCCTTACAGGAAAGAATCAGGCTTTATGCCTGGTCCCACTGAATTCAAGACATTGCTCTATAGAGTCCCCCCACCCCTTCCCAAGCTTACCTTTTTTTTTTTTTTAATTTGCCTTCTCAAGGAGATACTGGTAATTAGGCATTCCACTTTATGACTTAGGCCCCTTGGAAGAGATTACAGTCTGGTATTAAGCAAGAGGCCAGAAACTTACCAAGAAAGCTTTTAAATGGATAAGGAACACTAGCTTCCTGTCAGGTTCCTCTAGGCTGCCCCTTTACCCACATACACAGCATCCTCACATTTACCTTGAGGGAGTTCCTTTTAGGGTTCCACTCAGCCAGGCTCCTGAGTGGTCAGAATCTGACTGAAGTGGCTACTGCCAGACTGAACACAGAGGTCACAAATTGGTACCCGCAGACGGGTCTGGATTGGTGAACAATGCATGGGGTCATAGAAGTTGAATTGGATGCCTGCAAACAGGGCAGGTACTCTCAGGATTGTCACATCTCCCACACATTCTAGTTGCCTTTCCCTTGAGCCAATTCCTGCTTAGACGTTACTTTAGACTGAAATTTCTGTTGTTCTGGCCAAGAAAACCTAAAGAAAAACAGAGATAGGTTGCAAACACAACATTTGGACAACTTCCACACTTACTTCCATCCTCCCTTTTCCCTTTTACGGGTTCCCCATTGCTCATTATCACCATCCTGTTATTGAAAAATGGGCGAAGTACTCACACCAAAAAAAATTAAACACCCTCTCTTTGGTAATGTTTTAATTTACAAATGAGATTAAATAACTCATCTGGTTCCTCTAAAGTAATGGATATAGAAACTATTACTTGATATTTTCCTTTTTTATGTGTTAATGGTTATTGCATAGGACCTTATTGTGTAAGGTCTTTACACAAATGGAGAAACCTCAGTCCCTATTAATATCCTTTCTAACTGGTTCTTCAATATGTTGAACTTTATAATATAGACTTTAAAGTTTTCCTGACTGTAGCACTCTGAAATCATTTGGTTTCTTAGATTAGGTAAGACCAGAAAATACAGTAACTCTAATCCATCATCTTTAACATCTGAGTTTACTTTTCACTATTTTTTGTCTAAGTTGTTTCCATGAATGTTTATGAAATATTTTAATTTTTCTTCTTTTTCAGATTATTGGGCTATACTAATGATAATTGATATTATCCCTTTATCCTTCGAATGCAGTGCCTTAATCTGGAAGAGGGAGGAGGAAAAGGAAGAATCTTAGTATTAGCTTTATACATTAAAACAGATTTTATCCTATTTCCTTTCTTTTCCTTTTCTCCTCTAGCTTTGGGTCAGGGACTGATGGAGATGGGGCAGAAATTAATTGAGTGAGGATGGGTTTTAGAATAATTGAGTTCAGTGAAGAAAAGAGGTAGGGATAAACAATTAATGTTACCATTCCAAATCTTGTTGTTGCTGGCTTTTCCCCACTTCACAGTCTTCTTATTTTCATGAACAATCTAGTCATTTTAATAGGTTGATATTTTAAAAGTGAAATTCATTAATTGTACATTTGTATTATGCTTGAATCTATGTTTGCAGCTTTTTCGACCTTCTTATGGTTTTAACCTGACTGATCCTTACTGTCACCTTTTGGAAAACCAATATAAAAGTCTCCATGATCCACACTTAAGAGCCTACCATAAGCGTAAAGATATCCTGAGGAGATTAAAGAAAGGTGGCTACATTACCAGCAATAATAAAGTGGGTTGAAGATTACTTCTTTTTAATCATTGAAAACCTCCAGAACCAAATAAGCTTGCTTCTGTTACCTCACCATGCATTAATGGGAAATTCCACAAATTACTCAGTATTTGTGTCAAGGGAAATCAGACAACAGTTGTTTCTAAATGAAACTACTTCTTCCTTCATGTTTTTTCTTTGTAATGTCAAAATATGATTACCAAGTAATTTGAGGATATAAATATAATTTTCCCAGCTACATCATAGTCTTTTTTCTTTGTCTTTAATGGTACTGTATGCTTGTCAGGGATTATGTCCCATATACTTCCAAAAAACCAAAGACAAAATAAGAACTTAGCAAAATCAGCCTGATAGAGGCTTGATAGACTCTATTCTCATTGGGGTTGAAAATTATTATTGGTATTTTATTTTAATAACTCCAGTTGTTTGTGCTCCATCCCTTATCATGGCTGAGTCATATTAATAAAGTAATGTTTTTTGGATAGCAATTTCCTATAGATTAACAATTTCAGAGAGATACTACTTATAAACTTGTTAGCAATTTATTATTCTACCAGAATGTTTTCAAATGGTATATTATTCATATTTTTCAACTGGAAAGTGCTATGATTTTAAAGTATTTGTATTTATATATATTTTGTTAATATTTTGTGTTTTTTCTTTAGATTGTATGTACCTTGAGGGAATTGAATAAGTACAGGCAATATCTTACCAGTTTAAAATTAGACTTTGAAAGAAACTATATAAGAGAACAAGTAAGTTAAATACTTAAATTTGGTTTCTTTACATAGGGTTTGGAAGAAAAGTTTGCAAAGTTTTTGTTTGTTTTACAATATTTTACCTTTAATTTTGACAAACTCAATAATTTTCCAAGTAAAAATTTAGATCAGGAATAAATAATATTTTGAGGTTGCTGTATTGGGCCAAGGAAGGGAAAAGGACCAGGTCATCTGTTAATATGCCGGTGGTAGCTGACAAAATTTCATAATTAATTTGCTAGTCAGATGTGTCCCTCCTACCTGAGCTGAAGCCAATAGGAAGTGACTGTTGTGGAAGCAAGATTCTTAAACTGGAAGCCAAAACAGCTTCAGTAACAGGAGAGGAACAGTATGAATAGTTACAACATCCTAGAGATGACTCAAAGAACATGTACAGTGTATGTTTGTACCCACACACACGCAGATGTGCTCACTCAGTAAAAATTGTTGTTCTTAAAGGTGAAGTGGAATGATTTGGTATAGAGTGGGTATAGTGACTTCCTTTCAAATTTTGATTCAAAGTCTGTGTAAGACTGTTTGTACGTGTGTGCCTGAGTGTACAGGTGCGTGAGTGAATTCAAGTTTTAGAGTCAAGAGAGTTGGATAAAACTGAGAAAAGTGTGTATAGGTGTACTTTTACAAATCTATGTTCTAAGGTCAAGAGAATTATATAAAAATTAGAAAGACTTCACTATACTTTTAAGTGTTTTATTTTTTCCCCCATTCCCTCCTCTGTGCCTAGAGTTTCTCTTCCACTTCCTCGGTATTTAAATTTCTTCAGAATGGGTAGAAAAGTAAAATAAAAGTGTTTATCTTTTATTTTCAGAGAGAGAAATCTTTAGTTCAGTTGTCCATGTCTGCAGTGGATTCAAAATAGATTTAAATACAGTTAAACAAATTTAGCTACTTACAGAGTATGGGAATTTTATTAAATACTAAATATGAAAAGGCATATCAAAAGACAGTTTTATTTCTGGAAAATGTTAAAATTTTTATATACGTATATACATACATATACATGTCTATATGTGTGTGTGTGTGTAATACACACTTTTTTTTGATAGAAAATGCTTTCAAAACAAGTGAATAAACTGCAGGAAAATAGTCAAATACCTGGACATTCTAATGTTGCACAGTTTCAAAACTGGTTGTTGCAAGAAGGCACCCAGTCTGTTAAGGACCAGGAACGATTAATAAGGCAGAGGTAAGACTGAAATTAATGTATATTTTATGTATATATTGTGGACCCAAATAAGTTGGAAAACACTATAAAGGATTGAAGGAAGGAAATTTTAAAGTACTGGACACTATTTAATTCCACTGTTGCCCTCAGTATGGAGAGGAAGGGAGACCAAGAGGTATAGGAATTGGGAACTTTGGTGCCAAGGATATGAGGAGGAATTTCTACCAGAGAAGATAGTGTTGCTGGGCATCCAAGAGGTAATCCAATCTAGTAACTGAAGAACAAATGAGATCCAAAATCCTTCCTATAGTAGGAGATGGAGGGAAAGTATCTTTAGCATATGCCTCTAATAGTTTATTTTTAACTGATTCATCTTTAAGGCTGACAGCATTAAGTTTGAGGGAATTAAGTAAAGTCAGGAAAGGAAGTTTTATATGACTTCATCTAATACTGATATAAATATGCATTATCTCTAAAAGAACTGTAAAAGCTGTTTAGATATTATCTGCTTACATTCATTCAATCATTACCTTTCTGTGGTCAAGACCATTTCTTAGGAGGTGAAGAGATTTTATAGTTCTTGTTCTTCCTTCTCCATTAAGGTTAGGAATTAGGCTGAATTACCGGACTCTTAGACGTTCCATAATAGTTCCATAGTAGTTCCATAATACATATTGACATACCAGGGACCAAGACTGTAGATGGAAGGTTTGTTCAAGGCCTTATAAATTACAAGGGACTCAGCATACATTTTGGGATATTCAAATCTGATTTTTTTCCATATTTGAAGTCAGTGTTTCAGTTATTTCAGCCTTCTTTACAAACTTACATTTCTAAGCCTACTGAGTTGTGAATACACACCGTGGAAAATGATTTTTTACCAGTCTGCTCCACATTTCATCATTGTCTTAGCCGTAACAGCGGATACTTACCTCATAGGGAGACTTCTATAATTAGTGAAATACAGTGAGTTCATGGGTCAGCCTGGCTTAAAGTCCATAAAAAGAGCTGATAGAAAACCTGTAAAATTCCTGTAGCTCAAGAGATAAAAAGCAAGCAAGGAGGTGGTTTTGGAATATCTAAGCAGATGATGCCATCATAAAGGAAACTCCCAATTCATCTTCAGTTGTATTTGTATCTTTATTTAGATATTTGAATATGGTAAGTAGGGAATTAGAACAACTTGAGCGCACAGCAGAAGAGCAACGTCTACTCCGGTTGGATAGAGAAGAAAGAAGACAGCGGGAATACACAAGAAGAAAACTTAACCTCCGTAGAAAAATTGAAGAGGTGAGAAATAACAAACTTAAAATATTGAGAGAAAAATTGTATATATTGTTTCATTTGTAAATAATTTTAGCTGTCCATCGTACTTCTTGAAGCCATTTCAGAGCTAAATAATTTACCCACATTGATCTTTCTTCACAGCTGTTAACATGCAAGTTGTTACATAAAATAATGAGGCTGACACCACAACTACATATGAGCCAATGTCTGCTTTTAAAGAGATGATGGTAAAAGTGACTAGACACTGCTTAACACTCCTGTAGCCCTCAGTGTGGAAACGAAAACATTTTTAATTTAGCTCTGATTAAAAATAATCGTCCTTGTATTCCTGATAGAAGTGCAGTAAAGAAAACCCATTTTAAAGCAAATGTGTAACTTTAGTCGTACTTGACCTGGTTTCTGTTAGACTCTTGACTTGTTTTAACTTGCTTGTTGGTAGTAGAAAAAATACAGAGGTTTACTGTGAGTAAATACTGAGTACAGTCACATTGTGCTCTCTAGGAATGGAAGACAAAAGAGATGTTACTCCTGATGAGGATCGGAGAAGATGTTAAAAGAGAAGCTAGGATAGAGGAACAGCGGCGTAGAAGCAGAGAAGAGAGTGACAGAAAGGTTGGCTGAGCTTTAATCTCTCATTGAGACTATTTGAGGACAAGCTTTTGCTAGTTTTGATTTTTGAAAGTTCACTTTGTGAGATGATGATGAAACAGTTACCCCAACTGACGTGTATTATACAAAACTGAAAGTTCTGAAAATGTTTACTCTATTTTAGTCATATTATATTGTGACTATACTATAAAAAATACTTCCTATTTATTATTTAACTACTTTTTTTGATATAACTACTTTTGATTTTATCTCTCATATCATAAACTACACTTGTGATTCCTATAGAAAAAAATGACATAGTTGATTGTTTTTCTTAGAATCAGCTTTTCTTGGAGAAAGTTGTCAATTTTTCCCCACCAGTTAATTCTTTTTATAGTAACTGTTTCTAATTTTAAATAATATAAAGTATTTTATGATTTAAAGTATAAATCAGTATAAAGAGAAAGAAAACTCATTTGTAGTTCCAGCACCACCCTATTAATGTATTGATATACACATACACAACTACAAACAAACATACAAATTGCATAACATTTCTATGAATATTTACATATTCCAATAAATAAACTGATATTATTAGACCTTACAGGCTGTTTCATAGATTGCTTTTTCATTTAATAGGATGACATCGACAACTATGTCAATAAATACTGGTCTAAAATAATATGAGTAATCTAAATAATCATTTTAGGTTATTTATTGTCAACAATAAATGTAAGTGTAAGATTTACATAACTTGGTTATACCAATATATACTGTTATATAGAAATTTTTTAAATATTAGAAATTGAACTGTATTGATAGTCTTTTATTCTACGCTTGTTGCATGTACCTTTTAGTATTATTAGGGACTTAACTGTTTATATGGCAAACTCAGCACATTCCAATTTACTGTAATTATTATTTTCCAATATTCAGTTTTTTCACCACTTTTTTTCAATGGGAATTCTTTTCAAATTGGCCTTTTATTGTTTGTTCCCAGACATCTCTGAAAGCATCTTTGTTTTTGGAGAGCAGCAGAGTGCCCCAGGTTTCCTCTTACTTTTTGCCTGACAACATTTACTAGTCAAGTAGTCCTGGCGGATTTTAGTGACATCTAGTGCAGTGGATCAGATTCTGGCCCTGAGAGTACCCATTAGGCGTGACCACTGATAGTAGGCGTGATGGCACCCCAAGCTGCTAGAAGTGCTTCATTACAGAGTTATCAAACTCTTTGACATTTTGTCTTTGCTTCTGTCAAAAATCAGTTGTGTTAGGGTAATTTTGGACTCTCTTTCTGCTCTTTTACCTATTTGTCTGTATACTGTCTTGATTATTGTACATTTAATAATTCTTTAAATCTGTAGTGCTTGCTTTCCAAGTTTGTTTTTCTATTTTGAAATTGTTTGGTTAATCAAAGCCCTTTACATTTTTATGTAAATTTAAAAAATCATCTTTCAGTTTCCGCCAAGAAATCTTAACTGCTGTTTTGTTTGGAATTGTATTGACTCTGTAGGACAGTTTGAGCAAAATAGGTATCTTGATAATACTGGGTCTTCTGACTCAAGAATCAAATACCTCTCTCCATTTATTAGATTTTACTTTATTTTTCTTACCATGTACTTTATGTAATTTGAAGTGTACAGCTCCTACACATCTTTTGACAGATTCATCCCTAGATATTTCATAATTTTATGCTATTGCAATTTGTATTTTTATTTCAAATTCTGATTATTTGATAGGATATAGAAGCAATTATTTTAAAATATTTATCTTGTATCTTGTATTGATAAAAACACTGGTAGTTTCTTTCCTAGATGCCAGTTGATATCCTACATAAATGATCATGTTGATAAAAATAAAGGTAGTTTTTACTTCTTCTCATTGAACATGGATGCCTTTTTATTTCCTTTTCTTGCCTAATTGCACTGATTAGAACCTCCAGTATAACATACAATTGAAGCAATTGTGGTGGATATTATTATCAAATACTTCCTTTGTTCTGTCTCATCTCTCTACAGACATATTAGGCTCCTCGACATTGTACCAGACCTCACTGATATGCTTTTAATTTCATAATATTTTGATATTGAAATGTAGTCAATGTACAAAATTAAGCTAGTTTCAAGTATATTACATAATGATTGGATATTTTCATATATTATAAAATTATCACTACAGTAAGTCTAGTAATCCTCTGTCCTCATAAAAAGTTATCTTAATATTATTGATCATATTCCCTATGCTGTGTATTATATCCTTGTGTTTTATTTATTGTATAACTTGACATTTACACCTCTTAATTCCTTACATCTGTTTCACCCACTCCTCACCCTATCCCTTTTGGAAACCACTATTTCTCCTCTATATCTGACTTCTAATTTTATTTTTCAGATTCTATATGTGAGATCATTCTATATTTATCTTACTCTGACTTACTTCACTTAGTATAATATCCTCTATACTTACTTAGTCTTACTATAAGCTTCCTTCTTAGAACTGCTTTTATTATGTCCCATTGATTTCTGGATCAGTTGTGTTTCCACTTTCTTTTATCTGCAGGTATTTTTTAATTTTTTTTTTATTTCTTCAGTGACCATTTGATTGTTTCCTGGCGTATTGTTAGCCTCCACGTGTTCTTGGTTTTTTGCAGTTTTTTTCTTTCTAGTAGTTAAGTTCATTGTGGTTGGAAAAAGATGCTTTATATGGTTTCAGTCATCCTAAATTTACTCAGAGTTGTTTTATGGCCTAATGTGTGATCTATCCTGGGGACTGTTCCACGTGCACTTGAAAAGAATGTGTTCTGCTGCTTTTGGATGGAATGTTTTATCTGTCTGTCATATTTGTCTATCTACCTACCTACCTATCTATAGTCCATCTAGTCTAGTTTGTCATTTAAGGCCATTGTTACCTTATTGAGTTTCTGTCTGGATGATCTAGCTGTTGACGTAATTGGAGTGTTATAGTCCTTTACTATTACTGTGTTACTGTCAATTTCTCCCTTTATGTTTGTTAATATTTGTTTTATGTATTTAGGTGCTCCTTTGTTGGGTATGCAGATATTTATAATTGTTCACCTTTTTGGATTGATCCTGCTATCATTGTGTAATATCCTTCTTTGTCTTTTATTACAGTCTGTTTTAAAGTCTATTTTGTCTGATATAGGTATTTCTACTCTAGCTCTTGTATGGAGTTCCTCTTTCCATTCCATCAGTTGCAGCCTGTGTCTGAAGTTAGTCATTTATAAGCAGCATGTTTATGGGTCTTGTTTTTGTATCCATTCAGCTGCTGTCTTTTGATTAGAACATTTAGTCCATTTACATTCAAAGTAGTTATTGATATGTATGTACTCAGTACCATTTTGTTCATTGATTTCTGGTTGTTTTTGTAGTTTCTTTTCATTCTTTTATTCTTTTGTTCTCTTTATGATTTGATGAGTGTCTTTAATGTTATGTTTTGATTTCTTTATCTTTTGTGTGTGGTTTATTATAAGTTTTGATTTGTGGTTACCATGATGTTCATGTGTAAAAACCTATATATTAAGATGGTTATCTTTGTTGATGATCTTTTGCATTCAGATGCATTCTGGCAACCATGCATTTTTACTCTCCCACTTTTAATGTTTTTGACATCATATTTTACATATTTTTATTTTGTGTATCCTTTAACTACTTATCATGGATATAGATGTTTTTACTGCTTTTGTCTTTTAACTTTCCTACTAGCTCTGTAAGTGGTTGATCTACTGCTTTTCCTGTATGCTCACCTTTACCAGTGAGAGTTTCCCTTTTATATTTTTCTTATTTCTAGTTGTGGTCTTGTCCTTTCTGCTTGGAGAAGTTCCTTTAACATTTCTTGTAAAGCCAGTTTAGCAGTGCTGAACTCTTTTGCTTGTGTATAAAACTCAAGAGCTCTCCTTCAAATTTGAATGATAGCCTTGCTAGGTATTCTTGGTTGAAGGTTTTTCCTTTCATTGCTTTCAATGTATCTTGCCACTCCCTTCTGGTATGCAAAATTTCTGCTGAAAACTTAACTCAGAGTTTTACGGGAATTCCATTGCACATAACTAGTTGCTTTTCTTCTGCTGTTTTTAAAATTCCCTCCTTTTTAAAAATTTTTCCAATTTAATTGTAATGTGTATTGGTGTGGATGCTTTTTGGACACCCTTGGATGTCTGTTTCCTTTCCCAGGTTAGAGAAGTTTCCAGCTATTATTTCTTCCAATAAGTTCTCAGCCCCTTTCTGTCTCTCTTCTTCTTGGACCCCTGTCATGCAAATGGTAGTATGGTTGATGTTGTCCAGAGGTGTCTTAAACTGGTATTTTCTTAATTCTTTTTCTTTTTTTCTGTTTTTTCTGTTTGGGTGATTCCCACTACTCTGCCTTCCAGTTCACTGATTTGTTCCTCTGTATCATCTAATCTACTGTTGATTCCTTCTAGTGTACTTTTTATTTCAGTTACTATATTCTTCAGCTCTGTTTTATTCTTCTGTACATTTTCTAACTCTTGTTAAACTTCTCACTGTGTTCATACATCTGAGTTTTGAGTATCTATTATCATTACTTTGAACTCTTTATCAGATAGGTTGCTTATCTCTACTTTGTTTAGTTCTTTTTCTGAAGTTTTGTCTTTGTTTGGAACATATTCCTCTGTTTGCCTAATTCTTTGTTTACTTTTGTACATTAGGTAGGTAGGTTACATTCCCCAATCTTGAAGAAGCGTCCTTAAGTAGGTGACATCCTATCTAGCTCAGCAGCACATTCCCCTCTGGTCATGAGAGCTATGTGCTATGGAGGTGTCCCCTCTGGGGGCTGCATGATCCCTTCTGTTGCTTCTTCTGTGGCAGGGCTGACTGTTTGGGTGCTCTGATAGGAAGAACTAGCTCCTGGTCTGGTTGACTGTCAGGCCCTGCCTCATGTGATGGCTGCCTGCCCAGTAGTAGGAAGGGCTGGGTCCTGGTGCAGCTGGTTACATGGCTCAGGGCATCTCATGTCTGTTACCAGCCCATTGGTGGGCAGGGTATGTCCCTATGACTGTGTTGGCTGTGGGGCCTGTGCTGGCTGGGGCAGGTGCCAGCTTCCTTTTGGGAGGTGTTGGGTCCCATTGCAGCTGGTTGTATGGCCCAGGTGGGTAGATCATCCCACAGTGCTCATAAGCTAGAGGGAGGGCTCCAGAATGGGACTTACCAGCACCAGTGCCCTCATAGTAGAATAAGCCTCCAAAAATGGCTGCCACCAGCATCTCTTCCCCAGAGGAACTGCTCGCTGCCTCCTGCCTCTCCAGGAGTCTCTCCAGAATGAGCATGTTGGTCTGATCCAGCCTTCTTTCAACTTACTGGCTCTGCGCTGGGACTCAGAGCTTGTGAGGTTTGCATGTGCTTTTTAAGAGTTTCCTGTAGCCCTCTGGGTCTCCCACACGCAAGTCCTGCTGACCTTCAAAGCCAGACATTCTGGAGGCTCGAGCGTCTTCTTGGTGCAGGGTCACACCCCTCCTCATTTTGTAAATTTTTTCTGTCAGTATTCCTTTTTGGATGGTTTCTTTTCCTGAATACATGTTAATTAATCTCTTCCACTGCAATGTCTACTCTGTCATTAATGCATCCATTGCATTGCTCTTCTTCACATTTTTTTTTAAAAAATTGATTTTGGCCCTTCTTATATCTTTGATGTCTCTTGTTTTCCTTGAAAATGTGTGGAATGCAGTTATGTTATCTATTTTAATGTTTGTATGTTTAATTCTAACATTTGTATTATTTCTGGGTCATTTTTGATTGATTACTGATTTTATGGATCATACTTCCATGCTTCTTTATATGCTTGGTGTCCTTTGTACGCCACGTATTGTGAATTTTATTTTTTGTGTGCTGAATATTTCCAGCTTTTTAAAAATATTCTTTAGCTTTTTTTCTTGGACGTAGATACTTTGGAAATGGTTAGATTTTTATAGGTCTTGCTTTTTAATGGGGCCAGAGCCATATTTAATCTGGGACTAGTTATTCCCCACTACTAAGGCAAGACCTATTCTTGTACTTTACTCATTGCCCTGTGACTTACGAAATTTCTCTGGGGTGGCTGGTGAGAATAGGCATTATTGGTAGGTGCCAGGTACTGTTTTCTTTAGTCCTTTGGGATGGTCCTATCTTTGGCCTTGGGTAGTTTCCTCACATACATGTACTGATTCATTCTCTCACTAACTACTCTAGGTAATATACTGAGGACTTCTGAGTTTTTCTCCATTCAGTTATCTCATTTTTGGTACATCCAGTGTCAGTATTAGCCCAGAGATCTACAAAGAGAAGCCATATTTCATGTATGATATTACGTTTACCTGTGGGAGGCCTGAGTAACTTTTGGTTAAGGAATCCTCCAACTGAAGATGACTTAGAAGTTGCCTAAACTCACCAGGAGAGCTTATGCATTAAGAGACTCTGTGTGAACTGAAACTGGACTAGTTCCCTGAGGTATATGGCATCTGAGGGTTAAATGTATTCTTAATGTTTGACCACATATGGAAATTTATCCCTTACCGCCTTTCTGAGTTTGTACTCAGAATAACCTTACAAATCACAAGATTGGAATAACTCCTCATTTCCAACAGACTGTCACACGTTAAATATTTATTTTGCATTTCTTAACAGCAAGTTGATGTTAACCAATATACTTTCTTAATATTTTAGAAACAAGCCCTTCTAGAGAAAAAAATGGCTTATCATTTACAAAAAATGCAAGACAATGGCATTAAAAGAGAAGAGATGAGGAAAAATATAGTTGATTACAAAGAACAAGATGGACCACATTATGAAGGTGAGTACATTAAGAGCTAAAGTGGCTGTGTAGAAAGTGCTTGTCTGTATATTTAAGTAAATTTTTTTTAACAAAACTCCATTTACTTAGGCTTTCTAGCTGCTTTGTGCCAGGGCAGGGTTCTAGGCATTTCCATATTACAGTTCAACTTGAAAAGTAGGCATATATGTAAAAATTAAAACAAACTAAAATAATTTTATCAAGTGGTTCAGCAGATAAGCTTATCTATACTGCAGTTCTAACTAACTTCCCTATATTTAAAATAATGTATTTTTTGCTACTGAAGCTTTAAAAACTTGTCTGTAAGGTAATTGCTATTGCATACCAACATGGTATTCTACTATCTTACCAGCCATAAAGCATAGACAGTATCAGAAAAGAACAAAGGGAAGAAGAAAAGGAGGTAGAGAAAGAGGGAAAGGAATGAAGAGAGTTTAAAAAGGAAGAAATAAAGGAAGTTTAAAGGAGGAACATCAAGTCATGAGTTTGCTATGCCCAATATCTACTAGCATCTTTTGATTTTTAACATTATAAGACTATCATAGGAGTTATTAAATTAATTAATGATATTAATTAAAATTTCATAGCCAGAATACAAAAATGCAGACTTCTTTTAATTATCTGTGATCATGTCTATCAGGAAAGAACATCTTCCATGCATTTATCATAGCATCTCATCAATCCTGTTATCTGTCCCATCAATCCAATTTCTAGGTGAGAGCCTCCTTTTGTCAGTCTCCATTGGCACTTATTTTTACCTACCTCAAATCCATTGCTCACACTGCTACCTAATTACACTTAAAATTCTGTTCTGATGGTTTCTTCTCCTGGTCCCAAACTTAAAGATCCCCATTACCTCTCAAATGAAGCTCTGACATCTTAGGCCTTAATTACCATCTAAGTTTCAACCCAAACCTAACTTTATTTCATATTACCTCCTTGAAGAAGTCTGCTGTGATCTAGGGGTGAAGGGCATAGGTTGTGGAACCAAACCACTGAAGTCCAAGTCCTGCTTTACCATTTTCTAGCCATGTAAACTACTTAACCTCTTTGAACAACACTTTCATCATCTGAATTAAAGAGAATTCCCATAAAGAGCCCATAAGTTCTAGCCCATAGTTAGCACTCTTTATTCAGTCAAATGAGACTACTGACCATTCCTAAAAACACAAGTTAACTTTTATATTCCTGTGCCTCTCTTTATCTAAGTTTCTAGTCTGGGATGACGTGTTCAGTGTCCATCTATCCAAATCCTACAATTCTTTAAGCGTCACGGTAAATAACACTATGAAAAATCTTTCTTAGTAAGTGTAATTGGAAGATACCTCTCTGAATCCCTGTAGTATGTTGTATTATTCTTAATACACTATTCATACTTCCCACTATCTTAATTATGTGCGATACTGTAATTCCCACCTTTGTGTTCACACAGCACCTGGTACTGTGTGTATATGTACTAAATATATGGTTGCTGAATGAACTAGCTGATCCCTGCCTACATCAACAACTGTTAACTTTCTCATTTAATTGGAGTAGAGTTTCAAGACATCTTAAACATTTGTTACCTCAGATCCACTTTTTTGAAGAAGTGGGATACAAATGAATTTAATTTATATTACAAGGTGACAGAATATCTATTTCACAAGTGAAATTGAATTATACTTCTATAGTGATGCTATCATCCTCCATTAAGTAGACAGCTTCCAGAGGGACAGAGAATAAGAGAGGAAAGGAATACTGGGTTAATCTTCTCCAATGAGAAGACACATCACTGTCACATTTGACAGCTTTAATGAAAACCCATTGAGCGCACATGCTGTAAGGATCCTTTGTCTTCCTAAATGGTTAGACACAGGAACTGTAAGGTCCTGTGTTACAAAGGAGGAGTGTGTATATGATTGCTTATGCAAGGCTAAGAGGCACATTCAGAAACTGCAGTCATCACTGTGGGCTGGTGGATCTCCAGCCAATAGCTATGTTGGTATCCATCTCTACACAGAGGAAATGACATGTTACTGTTGGGCTACGGCTAGCTTTTCTCTCTGAAGAAAGAGAAGAAAATTCCATCCTTGTGGGTATATCTTTTAACTTGAAGGGATAATATTTGAAGGTAATTGTCTTTTTTCCCATTGCACATGCCTCCATCTTCTCCAGTACTTCCCAGCAAACTTGCATTTAAATTAGCACATGGTTCACTTCCTCTTGGTCATGAAAAGAGAGTCTATCTTGGGTAAATCTGTCATCACCACTGGTGAAAAAAAAATGTTTTATTTTATTTCTTTAAGCTTATTATTCTCCAAAGAAGAAAAAGAAGATTTCTGATGACATAAAGTTAGTTTACTCTGCTGGTGACCAGAAAACAAGCAAGGGAGCATATGGTAATTGAATATTGTGATAAGAAATACTAATAGTATTTTGGGAAAAACTGAGTTTGGATGGCCTCTTTTGCTTAAATGCAGATAATTCCTCTGTTCTTTGTTGTCAAATGACTGATTTAGAGTGATGCTTACCAACAGTGATACAACCTCTATTGCTGAATTTGATCTCTAGTCGCTGATTTAGTGTTTTGAAGTTACTATATCATCATTTTAGAAAAATTAAATGATGAGTTTGTTGCTTTTAAATGAGCATTGTGTGAAACATAACAAATTGCAAAATAATTTTTTAATGCTCAAAATGATTTTAGAAAACTCTGAAGCAGGTCAGAAATTAAATACATTAACTCTAACCCCCCTGTAAACCCCATTGAAATATCACTTTATTATTTATCCCATACTGTGTTACTTTATGTTGTCTATTAGAGCTCACTGTTTTATCCCAGGAACCCAAATGACATCATAAATATCTTGCAAATAACATACTATCAAAAGTATGAGACTGTTAAAAATTGAACAATATGAATTCTTGTCACATATTAAATTTTCAGGGAAAAAGTGTAAAAGTTAAATCCCTTTGTCTTTATCAGTTAAATTCTAAATAAAAAGTTTAAAATCTTCCTCGAACATAAAGTTTCATTAGTATCATAAAGTCTCTGGGAGAAAACAGGCCTGCCTTAGCTGAGGCTGTCTTCCACTCAGCACTACTGAGGTGTAGTTAATTCAGCTCTAAGCTCCCATTTTTAAAATCTAATGCTTTTTTATAAAACACCAAAGAGTTAATACAACACGTAAAATTGTGACACCACCAGCTGCACACCTACTGAATGTAGACAATAAAACTAAATTCTCAGTCTCATGCAGAAAGATCTTCTAAAACTCCAATGTTTAATGCAGGCCAAATTGGTCAAAAAAATCTCAGTGATATTGGAGTTGGTGGTAGATGGAAAATATTTTCAGCTTCATCAGGGTACCAGTCTATCTGTGATAACTGAAAGGATCAAAACTAAATTTAATTAAGCATAGCTGGGAAATGTATTCCATTAAAATATGAATTCTGAAACTATATTGATACATAACTGAGGGGAGGGGGTCTATTTCTACTTTCCATTCTAAGAGAATGACATGTGAATCATTCTGTCTTCTTTGTGAGTTTTAGAAATGTACACTAGTGACATCACAGTTCGTTATGTATTATTAAAAGTGCCCCTCTTCCCTGTCCACCATAATCAAACCTCTTTAGTCTCCATTTCACTGTTGAGCCAAGTATAAACTCCATACAGTGTCACAGCCTTTACACTCTTATGGGCAGTTTGCCTCACGTTTTGTAGTTGTCAACTCTTCAAGCAGAGTGCAGAGCCCTGAATTCTCTGTAGACCTGCTTCTGATCTTGACTCTACTTTTTTCACTCTCAAAAAAAAAAAAAAAAAAAGAAATCCTGAGGTAATTTATTTTTATTTCTAAATTACCCTAAAGCAAAGTGGAATTTTTTGTCTAATTGCATGAATTTTAACACACATATGTATTTGCATGACTTCTACCACAATCACATAAGAACATCCCTAACAGTCCAAAAATGTCCTGCAGTGACACCTTTCTCCCTCCCACTAATAACCCCAGGCAATCACTGATGTATTCTGTATCACTATCTTTTTCCTTTGGGGAATGCCTTATAAATGGAATCAGATTAATGGTATTTGACCTTTTGATAATTACTCCTTTCACTCAGCATTATGCCTTTGAAATTTATTCAAATTTTTTGTCAGAAGTTTACTCCTTTTTATTGCTGAGTAGTATTCCATTATGTGTGTATACACCAGAGTTTGTTTATGCATGCATCATTTGAAGGATATTTGGCCATTTCCAGATATTAGTGACTATGAATAGAAA